AAGAGAGAAGCAGAGGGTAGGCTGACTCCTGAGTGTGCTGCGTGATGAACGTGGCAGCACAAATGATGCCGATTAACTGTTCTGGCAGCTCAGTTTATGAGCTGCAGCCTGTGCATCTCTGAACCAAGTGTTTGATACTAGTAAATTGTCTCTAAAAGCTGCATATCTTAGAACAAACAAACAGCCAATCTGATTTACAAAATAATAAGCAAAGGAAAAATCAGCATCAGCTGTTGGTGACTGGTTCCAGCACTGAATTCTCCTCACTGTTAGGTGTGTGTCCCCCCCCCAGCACTGAATTCTCCTCACTGTTAGGTGTGTCGTCCCCCCCCCCAGCTCTGTTCACTGGCTTCCTCTCTTCTGTCATCCTCAGGTGCTTTTGCTTCCAAAACCCTTCACAGTTTACATCTGTCCCTTACAGCCTAAGCTTACCTTCTTGCCTTGTCATGTTTTCAAAGCTGCAGCTTCAGGCCTCCTTCTGTGCCTCCTTCAGCTAGGGGAAGCCCCCTTCATCATTTTAACAATAAATGATTATTCAGTACCACTCTTTGACCCGTTGTCAAAACTCCCGCTCTCCTGCAAAAGCCTTGATGACGGTAAGCCTCCAGCACACTGAGGCCATTGCCCATCACACAACCCCAATCATCTGGGGTTTTTCCTACTACTGTCAGAATGTCTCAATCCCCTCTGTTCTCGTGTACTTCGATGGTGCATTTACAAGGGAGGGACCATCCTTTTACTTTTACTTGTATTAGTTCATCCTGTATGGTTTATGACTGGGGTCCCTTTGTTCTATGACAATGCACGAATTGTTTATTTTTTTTATTATTATTCCTCTGTGTGCTGTCCTTCAGAGAGCATCATCAAAGTTTTGCTCCCATGTTAAAGCACGATGAGGTGGTACCTTAGCAAGGGTGTTGGGCCGAGTAGGGTAACGCTGGCAGAGTGCTGCACAGATACAGAAACGCTAATTGCAGCGCCCACACCCACCTACTTAGAGCTGACACGGGTGCCTCTGCTGCTACACTGTGCTTTGTAAATACTCCTTCAGACGTGTCATGTCTTCTCAGAAACATTTCCATTTACATACCCCTCCTGATTAGGGACGGATACCAAAATGGGGT